GCGACACGTGAATCATCGAATATGCGCAACGGGAGAGGGAGCGAGAGGACAGAGAAAAAGAGAGAGAGAGAGAGAGAGAGAGAGAGAGAGAGAGAGAGAGAGAGAGAGAGAGAGATAACAGGAAGAAAAACGAGATCTCGTTGTAACACGCCTCCTGCGATGCGACTTACGCGCGAGATCAATCGCGCGGTCTGAATCGTCGGCGACGATTCGTCGGGTCGTCATCGTCGCGGTGCGGCCGGCTGAATCTCCGAAACCGAACGCAGCGCACATAAAATCAGTCTGTCGCGCGACTCCCGACTCAAATTACAATTTAAATAGCTCCCTATAAATCTCACTCGACGTATCCTCCTCTCGACCGATCCGCCCGGATACTTTAATGCACGATAATCCGTAAAGCGCCACGCACGCCTACACGCTTGCGTATAACAATGATTTATTACGAAAGATTATTCCTCTCTATGGAGAATCAATGAAGCGGACCCCGCTTCCTTCCTCCAACTCTTCTTTTCAAAGATTTAGCTGAAAATATAGTCTCCCGCCGCGGCTCGATACACGTCTCGCTTCCGCTCTCATATTTCGATGAAATCGCGTGACAAAAGTCAGTTGTGCGCGTAACAATGATTTATCGCGAAGGAGTATTCTTCCTAGGAAACGAATCAAGAACGTTCTCCATTTATATTCCGCTCCCAGGAACCGAGGCGAAAATACGCTCTTCTACTTTCAACTCGATGCACCTTCCGCTCGCTCTTATTTTCCGGTAAAAGCGCGTGACAAAAATCGAACTAACGTGAGCGAAGGTGAGGAGAAGCCTTTGAGCTTCGTGCTCGGAAAGGTGGATTACTCGCGAAGCTCTCGCATGAGCCTTCTCTCTCAAAGGGATATCGTGGCCGATGTTTCACGGGTTATTCGTGATACAATGACGAGAGGGCGGAGGGGAGGGGGAGCGAAAGTGGAGATTACCATCATCCCTATTCCGCGAATAATGAGAGCTTTATGGCACGACGCTTCATTCCGAAGCTCTGCGCTTCAGCGCTGCCGGAACAATGCGAGCTGCGAGCGTGGCGGCGCGCCGTTTCCGTTTGCACTTTTCATCGCGGCGCTGAACACACGTTCCCGAACACTGGACTCTCCCGAATGCACCCTACGAGTGGCCGATCGAACGAATCAACGAACCGCGTGTTTTGATTGAAATGCCGTGGAGCGCATATCGCAGAGCTAATTGTTTCTAATGGGATTTCGTGCTACTGCCCACACACCGAAGCGTGCATCATTCAATATCCACGCGCGCGCGCACGCGCGCGTGTGCCGAAACTATCGCATCGATTTGCCAAAGCGATTACACTCACTGTTGCAGTTTGGCGGATTAGTTTGCAGTTTACCTCTGTTACAATAGCGCGCGCGCGCGCGCGACGTGTTTCTATCATAATTATAATCATATAATACTGGCTTATATCCGGGAAAAGAGTTCGTGGGGATTTTTGCGAAGAACTCGAAACTTCGATACTTTTGTACTCGGGCATAACTTTAGCCAATATTTTGACAATAGTTTTCTCAATGATAGGAAGTCATGCAAAACAAAAATAAAAGAAAAATAAAGGTACGCCTATGCACTGAGAGAAAAGTATATGATATTTGGAATTATAATGATATAGTAACTAAATTATAGTCCGAAATAACATAGTTATAGTAAGTATTACCATAATATCGGTAATAATTACGATGTAGACATAGTATAACCAACTATATAATATTTTTTACTAAGAATTATAGTAAGTTAAACTAAAATTATTGTATGGATACAAATATAAAATGGTAGATAAAGTAACTCTTTTATATAGTCAATATTATCAGAAGAATATTTGCGAAATGATGACAGATGTAACTATATGAATATTAAATCTCACTATATTTGTGAATGAGAAATTACTATATATGTGGTAAAAGTAACTAAATAATTATTTAAGACAATCATTGACTATATATTTGTGTTTATTTTACTATATTTTGCAGGTTCCACGAACTATAAAAATATGGTTAATGCCAAAATGAACTATAAAATATAGTGAGATTATAGTTAATTCAAATATTTTTCTGTCAGTGTGGGATTATCGGCTTTGAGTTTCTTGCTTTGAGAATCTCTATTCGTAGGGAGAAATCTAATCGTGTAATTTCTAGATTATTTTTAACGAGCTATCGCGAATATGTGTTAGAAATCTCCCGCGACCACTGCTAAAAAATTATTTTATCAGACGAGCTGTTGAAAATGTATATATGTGTGTGTGTATGTTTGACGTTAATTACATAATATTTCTTTTTTATATTTACTTCATATATCTAATTCGAAACAACAGCCCTGATATCGTCCGTGACTCGCGACGCAAGAATTTAATTTCCAATACCGCGAGAAAAATGTTGGCGATTTTATGGGATTACCGGCAGTCGAGCAATCACACGTGTGCTGCGGCGTGAGTATCGCGGCGGAGAAAAACGAACGAAAAGAAGGCGAGCCTTCGCGTTTCAACGTCCGAGTTCCGCGAACGAATATCGCTCATTCCCGCAAGAATTGTTTGAACGAAAATCGAGCAATGTATCGTGACGCCGCAAACGCTCGAGGAAGGAAGGAAGGATCGGCGCGCCGCCTGTCGAAGGATTTGTCCGTTTCTTCTCTCGTCCCAAACCCTATCGACATTCTTCGCGGGATATCGCGAAATCACCGGCACTTTGCTCAAAACGAGCGCCTGCGAATGATGTCTCACATCGGCCTCCGCAACGGTAGAAAACTTCGGAAATTCCAGCCGAGGTAGAACCGAAGCTCGAAGCTCGGGCCACTAATTCGATTCGTCGATGTCGTCCGGGAAACGGAAACGACCTGCTGCGGTCTCAATCCGATTTACATTCCGCCAATTCGACCGAGTAACGGATTTTCGAGGACGGGCGGATACAATTAAAGTGTTCGAGAGAGAGTGCTCCTCGAGAGCCGGCTGTTGCACTCAACACGCGCGATGCTTAATTAATGCGGGTTACGATGCGGCGCAAACAGCTTGTTGCTCCGCGCAATTAGCCTGCGCGTTCCCGACAAAAGCGCTCGATGTTGCAGCTGAACTTGACGCGCATTATAAGGAACCGACGTGACGCGAAAACGCGGGAATAAATCGCGATGGAACAATCGAGGAAGAGAGAGAAAGAGAAAAGGAGAGGGCCAGAGAGCCCGAGAGAGAGAGAGAGAGAGAGAGAGATTTTTCTGCCGTGATATTAAATTATAATAAACTGCATCGCCTTCGCGAAATAAGATAACATCAGAATAATGCAAAATGTATCGTCGAAAAAGCGTTCGGCGTCTCAAATCACCGCGCGACTGGAGGCAAGTTCCTCAAAATAGCGTCGCAAGAATGGCGTCTCAAGCAGTTTGTCATTCGAAAGCAATCTTTGTATTGCGCGAGAGATACTCTGAACTTTCGCATTTCTACGCTCGGATTACGCGAATTGATCGAAAGGACAATTTCATCGAGTGCGCTAGATTCTGCAGCCGCCTCGCAAAGGTTGCTTCGCAAAGGTCTCAGAAGATTGTTCAAAGAAGCCTCGGGGTGGCCGTGTGCATCCGCGGAGTGCACGGATTCCATTCTTATCTTACCAGATCGCGTATATATCAGTCGTATATCGCCAAGTGCTGAGATTTTCCATTTGTTGGCGATACACTCGCTTGATTTCGTCGCCGGCAGCGTCGGCCGAGGCGGGGCGGGCGAGTTTGCGAGTCGTAAAGCTCGCTTCGGCAACTCACGCAGTCTAGCAATATTTTACGTCGCCCGGTTTTATTGTTACTTACGCATGCACGTCAAGCGAATTGTCAAGTGCCTCGCCGAGTTCTCACGCGGCTCTCGGAAACTCGAGGGCCCGTTAGCTTAGAGAGACGTGCAATCAAGTTTAGGATACATTCCGCGGATAAAAGCCTTACGAGCGAACATTTCCACGCGGCTGAATTTTACGAGAGAAATTTCCCATCTCGCGACTTCTTCTCGATCTCCTAAAATTGTCTTCACCCGTCCAAAATAACGTCGCACTTTTTCCGGGTTTCCTCAATCAAGGGTGGAATTACATGCGGAGCAGGCCGTTTTCAGGACTATTTTTACGGAATTTTTTTAACAAAAACGGTAGGACCAGTGCACTTGAAATTTTCACAGTGTATTCATCAATGTTCAAAGTATAAAATAAATTTGTTACTATCTATATGAAAAGTACACATAAAACTTTAAACGCGTTTACCTGGAAACACCATTTTCTTAAACTGTCGACACAATTGCGCAAAAACTACTCAACCGAATAACTTGAAATTTTTACACAATATACAGTAGACATGTAGTTTTCGCCCCTACCTTGAACATAGTTATATTTTATTTTATTCATTTTTTAAAGACAATGGCAATAATAGCAACCGTATATTTTAAAAATCTTTCTCAGTTTTTGGTTTCAGAGTAGTGAGAGAGGCCCGGAATTATGTCGACAGCAAACATAGAGCTCGCAAACGGATGACTGCATTTTTATCTATAATTACAAATTGGATCGGTCCTTGCGATTCAATAAAATTTATTTTATACTTTAATGAACATTAATGAATACACTGTAAAAATTTCAAGTCCATGGACCTTACCGTTTCTGTTAAAAAAAAAATTCGGAAAAATAGCCTTGAAAATGGCCTTCTTCATGTAATTCTCTCCTTAAGATTACGCCTCTGAATTCGCCCGTATTTCACGACGAATTTCACATCTGCTCGCTCGCGCGGTTCTCAGCGAAATCAGGTCGTCGAGAATTGTTCTCCTGTGAGACCGAATCGTCAAAGTAGATCTAACGATTAATATTCAGCGACAAAATTTAACGATTAACATTATGAAAGGCTTGTCCGCGTAGTTCAGAAATAGTTTCCTCGCGGGTATACGAGACGCGGTCTCTCATCTCTGGCTTCGTCAGTTTTCGCCGCGCGACTGATCTCGTTGTGGTTTCAGAAAATGCGCACCGCGGCCGTGTGTATCGCCTTCGTCGTGACATGCACGAGCGGATCGTTTGTCGCGGCTATACGGTACATGGATCCGATGTCCCCGCAGCCGGGAAATAACGGCGACATCGGCGACAAACGGATGGATCTGATGGAGCCGTCGTGCGACGAGCTGCGCGCCATGTGGAGGTACACGAAGAGGCAGAGCAGAGCCGTGGCCAAGAGTAACGCATACCCGCTGTATCCTGATTCACGATTATTAAATATATGGCCGAAACATCCCGATCGTACCAAAGCTGGCACGATATATCGAGGTGAGTCTATCGCGTTTGCGAGCGTCCGAACACCTAAGACGTGAATGAAGCCTCGCGAAATTTTCTAGCGACGTCTCGCGTTTATCGCGCACTAAGAGGACACGATATTTCCTTTTAACGTAAAATCGCAGCAACAGAATCGAGTGCGAGAAACCGGTTTATTTCATTTTATATATCTTCTGTTTCTCTCTTGTGCGTCTTTCTGTATTCTTCTACTATGTCTTTAGTAAATCTCAAATCGGTCTTCAGCTTGACGTGAAATTCTCGTCAGATTTCTTCGTGCTGGCACACTCGACAGAGTCGACTCGCGTTATGATTTTACGTCACCGTCGTCGACAGTAGTAAAGAAGCGAATCCTTTCATCGCGACTACACCAGGAAAAATGTATTGTTGCGTGAACCAAAATTTTGTTGCAACAACAAAATAATTTGGTTAAAATATGCCCAACAAAACTGTTTCTGCAACAAAGCAGTTCCTGCAAACAAATATCTTGTTTGATTACGGTTCGTTCGTATGACGTAATACTTTTGTTATAGCAACCAAAAATGCTTTAACTAAATAAATTTTGTTAAAAATACTATAATTTTTCTTAATATATAAAATCTAAATTTTAGTGCACAGAAGGACAAAATAGTATCCATTGGGTATTATTTTAGTTTATGTAAAATAATATTTCGTTATTATGTAATTTTTATGGATGAAATTACTAAAATGCTTAATTTTTATATATAAAGTCTAAGAACAAAATCATTTGGTTCGGAGAACAGAGTTTAGTTGAGACAACTAAATATATTTTGTTATATGAAACAAGATATTTGGTTGCTATTAAAAAATGCTTCAACAGCTAAACAGTTTTGTTAGAGATACGAAATTTTTTTTCCTTAGTGTAGTGTAACCTTTCGGCCGGGTGAAAAAGACGTCGACGCGGCGCGGCGCGAATCATGGAAGAAACGCATGCGTTTCATCGATTTCGCGGATCGAGTCAGCGCATACGTCAGCCCACGAGCTTGCCCGGCTACATGCAGCTTGCCGCGTGGAAGCCGCGTGCAAGCTGCGTGCAGGCTGCAACAGCATCTCGCAAATACGCGACGCACATGTGGGTCAAGCACATCGCTTTACCGCTATACGCGCCGACACTTACGCTAACGAGTATACATAATTCGGGCTAATTATCGTAGAGCATGCCAGACTGGCGAACGCTTTGAAGCTCGGTAGCGTTGCAAGCACGAATCAGCTGCTTTGTCCGCGTCTCAATTTCATCGATCGCCGAAGCGCACGCATTTCATAAATGATGCACGGATTGCTCAACACCCCCTTCACCGCTGTCCAGCGAGAGCCAAGAGGTCCCTTAATTACCGTAGAGTTAAATCCTTCGTAGGGATTCCACGGTATTCACGCGCGATATGATTTCATCTCACCGCTCGAACGAGGACGAGGTCGCGTCGCGGGCTCCCTTTTCGACCGATTCGTTTTGTAATCTGCGCCACGGCGACGTGCTATCATCGCTTAATAAGCTTTATATTATATATAAAGCTTTTATATTATATATAAGCGTTACTATTTATCGACTATTTAACAACGTGCGGGGACTCGTGAAACCTTTCGCGTTTGCTTACGCGACAGCCCAGAAAGGGAGCCCAGAAAGAGAGAAGCCGAGTCTCTCTCTCTTTCTCTCTCTCTCTCTCTCTCTCTCTGTTTCTTTTTTCTTTATTAAACTACGATTACAGTTAAACTCGCCGTCGCTGAAGCGAAATTAGTTCGTTATTTATGTTCGTACTTTACGTGTACACAGCGTACAACACCGTTAACACGGTAAATTTATCCGCAAGTGCTTTCGAACTTTTCATTTCTCGCAAAACAAAACCTGTTCGCCCGCCTGCTCACTCGCGATCGCGTAAGAATCGCTGTGATCAAACAATGCGATTTAATGTTAACGACTATTTACCGGGTCAATCAATTTGTAGAAACATCAAAGTCGAAGGACAAATCTCGTTGTACCTTTTTCTCTCATTTATACTTGACATTCGCAAAGAACGACTTCAGCGGTATTATTTATCTGAAGACGAAGACAAGCAAGACGATTCAAGCGTTCCGTTATACTAAATTTAATCCTGCTAAATAGAATCGTCGCGAGACAGTCACTCGGAGGAACGATTGCACGCAAAAGTCTCGGAAGCTTTCCAGCGGATTTCACTTCAAATCGTCACGATCTTCAAAGGCGAAAGTATCGATAATTGTGTCGAGCCACGCTCTCGATCAGCTCGGCGTTGGGATATATCAATGACATCGGCTGATTTACGTACAGGCAGAAGGCTGAATGACCGCGAGGTCGTACGGCCAGCTGATTTAGCGCGGCGGTGGGGGACAAGTCCTCGTAACATGTTTACATCATGCGGACTTGCCCCCACGCTGTCAGCTGTGACAGGTCGACCACGTGGTGGTGGCTTACGATGCTGGTATGCAGCGCGCAGTGTTCGCTAATGCCGAAAGTTTAGGATCTCGTGACGAAAAATTGAGCTGTACAATACGTATCGCAAACATATCGTTTGTCTAACAAAAGTTTCGAATATCTTGTATCTAGCAGGATTCCATTTACGGCCGGAAATTTTGGTTGTTTTAGGCACCTTAGGCAGCTTCGCGGAAACAAAAGTAGCTTGTGCGATAGAAAGAAAGAAAGAGTCGAATACTTCAAGTAAGATGTATTAAAGAAATTTTGAGGAAATGCATCGTACTGATATCTCGTCGATGCAAGATATCCCGCGTCTTTTCCTTCTCGCTGACGACGATGGATTACGAAGCCAACGCGGGCTCGATCGTATCCGTCAGCCTTCAATGTCAACGTCGAACCGACGCGAAGATGACGCGAGAGAGGCGAGCGTTACCGCGAAAAATTTTCAGAAATCTCTCCTCGGCTTTCCTGTTACATCTTTATATCTTACACTTCCCTTTCCTTGAATCCTCGATTTGAGTGACGTCAAGCTCTCGTGTTTAAAGAGACGCGCGCGTTCTCGCATTTTCATTAAATTCTCCGCATTCTCCGAAGTATCTCTTTATATATTTAATACCGCAAAAACTGCTTTACACGGACCCTCCTTTACGCGAAGGGAGGAAAGAGTACTCTTCTACGTAATTGTAACGTATGATAAGGTATCACAAAGTATCTCATTTACGAGAGAGATCGTCATCGGGAGAAAAATGGGTGAAAGCTGAGTAGGATGTTAATTATTCGCAGGGAAGTATCCCGGGCAACCCCGCAGCCGGTCGGCCGGGGGTGCGCCCATTTACGGGAAGATGGTGCACAAGGCCCCGGCAGGGAGCAGACTGCGGAACGGGATGCGACAGCGTGCGAGGAACTTGGAGGACATGAGGCTTTTCGGGACCGTGAATCGTTACATACCGTCGAACAGGCATCAGCACGTCACCAGCTTCCGCGTCGGCGGTGGCGTCTCGTCCCCGAGGGTTCCTCAGGCTGGCAGTTTCGAAGCGCTCAAGAACCTCGTCCAGGCCGAAAGAGCGCGCGAGCTGCGGGTTGGTTCTCCACTTCTGTTTCAGTTCTCTCAGCTTGTCTTGCAAAGGACTCTCGATTGTTGCGTTTAAGCAGCTTAAACATAAATTGAGACACGATTCATTTGCTGAATTCGTTAACGAAGACAGTAGTAGAAGGGAGCAGTTGGGAAGATTTGGGAAAGAGGATCTTCTTTGCAAGAGAATATCGGAGAAATCGAAATATTTTCTCAAGCGAAGAGAATATTTTTTTCTTAAATCATTACACATATATGTACGTGAATTTATAAATTTCCAAGCGCTTTTTGGATTTTTTACATGGCACATACAAAGTGACGTGGAATTTTATCGCGAACTCGAGGAGTCATTTTTCGAAAGAAAAAATTAAAAATTACGCGATAGATTGTAACAATGAACTAAATAATATAACTGAATAATAACTAAAATATTGATAGTGCAATAATTAATGAAAGACAATGCAAGTCGCTAATTACACAGATCGGTGTTTATTAATGCAGCGCAAAAGTTCGCTACATTGTTAACTTATAAACACTGACTAATCTTTTAACCCGTCGTACTTTGTACGATATTGACTGAAAAAGTTTCGCGCTGCGCTGGACGTACTGCGAAACAAGAAGCGGAAGGGAAGATTCAGCGATATTGCATTTTCTTCTGTATGAGTTGTGTGCGACGCAAACATCTGTTGTTGTGTCTGTGTCACTATTAAAGTAATCCTGACGGGGCGTAATCTTTGTCGACTATATCCTTCTTATACTTCGCGATACTTAATACGTATGCAAAGAGATTGTTTGAACGGAACGTGTGTGCTTCAGGAGCAGCACATCGAGGAAATAGTAGCGGAAGCTGCTTTGAAGGAGAGAGCAAGAGAGGAAGAGGAGCAAGAAGCCAACATACAACAATCGCGAGGACAGTACTCCAATCCATTGCCACCCCTGCAAATACCGAAGGAATATTACGATTACAACAATCGACGTTACATGTCGAATGTACCTAACAACGGTCAAGCTTGGTCGGTAAGTCGTCCCCGTTGCTAAAAAGATATTACAAGGGGGGGAATTACATGCGAAAGGCCGTTTCAAGGCTAATTCCACGAATTTTTTTAACAGAAACGGTAAGATCAATGGACTTGAAATTTTCACAGTGCATTTATTAGTGTTCAAAGTATAAAATAAATTTTATTGAATCACAAGAACCCCGATTCAATTTGTAATTACAGATAAAAATGCAGTCATTTTGTTTGCGAGCTCTGTTTACTGTCGACATAATTCCGAGCCTCTCACTACTCTAAAATCAAAAAATGAGAAAGATTTTTAAAATATACGATTGCCATTATAACCCTGGAGGCGGTGGAGCCAAGTTTGGAAAAATAATGACTGTACAAAGAAAAGTATCGAAAATAAAACTTTTTCCAACTTGTAAAATCATGTTCAAAAAATAAATAAAATAAAATATAATTGCGTCCGAGGTAGGGGCACGAAAACTACATGTCTATAAACTACTGTATATCGTGTAAAAATTTCAAGTTATTCGGTTCAGTAGTTTTTGCGTAATCGTCAGTTAAAGAAGATGGTGTTTCCAGGTAAACGTGTTTGAAGTTTTATGCATACTTTCCACATAGATAGTAACAAATTTATTTTATACTTTGAACATTAATGAATACACTGTGAAGAGATCTCAAGTCCATTGATCCTACCGTTTCTGTTAAAAAAATTCGTAAAAATAGCCTTGAAAACGCCTGTTCCGTACTGAGAGAAAAGTATATGATATTTGGAACTATAATGATATAGTAACTAAATTATAGTTCTAAATATCATATTTATAGTAAGTATTACCATATTATCGGTAATAATTACGATATAAACATAGTACAACCAACTATATAATATTTTTTACTAAGAATTATAGTAAGTTAAACTAAAATTATTGTATGGATACAAATATAAAATGGTAGGTAAAGTAACTCTTTTATATAGTCAATATTACCAGAAGAATATTTGCGAAATGATGACAGATGTAACTATATGAATATTAAATCTCGCTATATTTGTGAATGAGAAATTACCATATATGTGGTAAAAGTAACTAAACAATTATTTAAGACAATCATTGACTATATATTTGTGTTTATTCTACTATATTTTGCAGATTCCACGAACTGTAAAAATATAGTTGACGCCAAAATGAACTATAAAGTATAGTGAGATTATAGTTAATTCAACCATATTTTTTCTATCAGTGCGCATGTAATTCCCGCCTTAACGTTCGCATAGAATGAGCGGAAACGAACGCCGACAGAGAGAAGGCGAGGAGAAGAAACGAAAATTGTAACGATTCGTTACGATTCTTCAGTAACGACGATGATAACGAGTTACTTTTCAAACGAAACTTTCCCAACTCCGCACACATGACAGAACTTCCGTGATAGGAGAGGAGGGGAGGGGCAATTAGAAGGGGAAATAATATTCTATATCTCCCTTCATTTGATTATATCGGAATGATTTTTTCTTTAAACGAACCAATGGTGAATTATTTCCACGTATCTAATGTGAGAACTTCAGTCTATGTTTTTTTCACAGAGG